GTTGAACACCTCGTGGGTTAGCATCAAATGACCCAGTGTATGTTGAGTGTGGGCTTGTGAGACGCAAACGGCGACATTTGTGGCCTTTGAAAGTGTGGAGCGCAGCACTTTTCTGATTTTTCGCATGCCTCTCAAGTACAATAATTTATGTGCGCTTTGCCTTTTGAATAAGCCAATCTCGCACCCGTAATGTTACGCAATGAACGCACAGTGTAGGACACGCTGGTGAAAATTGGTACCAAGCTTGGTGTCCTTAAGGACGCAGTCAATACGTCAGGATTTTCCAACAATCCAACCATGACACAAGCGCACATTAATCCACAACTGTTTGCGCTTCAGTGAGATTAGTCACACATAAGGCTGTGCAAAATGTCCAATTTGTCGCTGAGCGGCAGCTGCACGTTGGAAATCTCACGCTGTTTTCCCAAGGACGACTGCTGTTGAACCAACCAAATCTCCCGATCAATGAATCGGGCAGTCAACGCCCGGGCCCGCCAGAGATTCGATCCATCAGTAGGAAAACGCGCCCGGCGCCAGAGCATTTCCCAAATCTCAAAGAAATGGCACTGCAAGGCGACAGAATGGGGCAGACATTTTCCGACTCATCGCTTTCACTTGGCTGGGGACGTCTCAATCGCGCCAGAAGTTAATGATAGAATTTGCGCGAGCAGTGAAGTACCGCATGTGTACGTGACAAGGCCCGCGGGTCCGACCTCCAGGCAATTCAACAGACTCGGAATCGGCGAAGGTCGGGAGGAGAGCATCGTTTCGCGGCCGGCTTCGGTCTGGATCAACGTCGTGAGGACGCCCATGGCCGGCGTCCTCTCTCCCATGTCCGCGCTGGCGATGTTCTTCACCGCGGCCTGGTACCCCAACATGGCATTTTCACCGCGCCTTCCCGTGGCATATTCAGTCCCTCCGCATCAACAACAGCTTACAGTTATGCTTTTCGCTCCGCACTTTTTTGCCAGAGCGTTGTTTTTAGTTTATTGTGCTCCGCATTTTTTTCATCAAAAGATCTTTATTTATTTTACTCTTTTCTTTGCAAATAAAAGACCAAGCGTTACGTTACTATGCGGAAGGGTTGAATATACGACGGTGTTTCAGAGTGCATTGTCATGTTTAGTTGAAACAGTCGAAACTATTCAAGCTGCACACTCTGGACAGGAGCGCGGGAGGCGGCTTGCATGTGCGCCGCACTTCGTGCAATGTGGCGAGATGGACGCTTACGAAAACAATAGAAATCGTTAAGAGCTGTGGCGGGATCCGAATTGTTTGGTGCAATTTTTATGCTCTGTACACCGCAATTTTCACTAGCAACAATGGGCTCAACCGCAGACAGCAATTCTGTTAGCTGGGTGGTTTCTACCACTGGCATCAACGCTCAGCCATTTGCGCATTTTCCTTGTGCCTGGGTCCGTCCTATCCGACCAGATCAATGTTATCATGGGATTCTCAGTTCCTATCCAGCGCTTGGTGCGCCGCTGTTGGGATTTACGACAGGCACCTCAATGCATTCAAGCTTGATGGCCTCTTCCCGTTTTGCCAGTGTCTTCTTGTCACTGAGGAACAGTTGCTTCCAGATGAAGAGACCAGCCTGCGCGTGGGACACATTTCAGCCAAACGCGCAGTAAGAACAAGCAACGGCAAAAATATGCAGTCCAGCACGACCAGACCCCATGGCAGGTGGCAGAAATTGTCCGGTACACTAGCAATGAGACAAGGACGAGAGACCTGCATTTGCCAACCAGCAGCGACTCGCGAAATTACCCATTTTATGAAGCTACCCCGCTTGCCGAAGCCAAGTCCATTTTTTGGCGAATTCTGTATCAGCAGTTGCAGGGAATACTTGGCAGTCATTGCTAATTGTGAATAGCTAATAGTCGCACATAAACTGGGTCAAATCGTGCAATCTGACCATGTTTGTGGTGCCACTGTTCCCCAATGCCGCCCGCATACGCCCTGCACCGCCGCCAGGCGCCCAATTCACTGTTTCTGGGATGGTCTTCCAGCAGAAGATGCGCTCATGCCTTGTGTCAACTCCCCTCATTGCTGCGCATATATGCAAACCTGGGTTTTGTTGATGGCGGTCGTCTCCGCGCTCTTGTCCACGGCGCCCCTGAAGTTTTCCACCAGCTGCGGAATGTTCTGCGACAGCGCGTACAGCTCGTCGGACATCCACGCCGGCTTGTTGCCCTTCTTCTTGCCCTTCTTGCCCTTGCCCTTTTTCGCCATAGTCGGAAGCCGGGCCGCAGCAGCCTCGAGCGGGAAAGCTGCGAGGCCTCACGCTCTACGCTGGGTGCTGCGCCGGGCGACGTCATTGACCCGCGCGGTGACATAATTAGGATGCGCTGGACAAGGACACAGGAGAGTTTTTTTTCCTTTTTTTTCCAACACATCGAGGACACTGTATGGATATAGAATTAGACATTGTTGACAGACAAATTCATGGACACTGCTTTGCTCGGTCAAAATAGGAAGCTGACGGCTATCTGGTCGCCTTGTGACGTAAAAGTGAATGACGATTATCTGGTTGACCGGACGTTCTCGCGCGCTCGCGCAGGGTCGCTCCCAGGCACGGGAAGCGAGCCCGCACCCAGATACATTACAGGATGAGTGTATCAGCTACATAGCAGTCAGTGCAATAATGTTCATTTCCCTGTCTCCGTTGTCCCCATGTACGTTCACCATAACCCCATGTTCACCATATTTACTTCTCACCATAAAAATAAGCCATATATCACATACCGTACATTAACCGTTCCCTTGCCTTCACAACGATGACGGGCGAAGGACACTGTGAGACATAGAGGAGTCCTAACAACAGGACATAACATTATGGAGGCAAGGTTGGGGTGGATTAGGGACAAAGGGCGGACCTGTGAAAGCTCCCCCTTCCACACCCGGCCTTGCCACGAGCCTCACAGGGCAAGGCGCCGGCGAGAGCTGGCGATCCTGCGGGCCGCCATGCAGGCCGCTTCCCCACAGACAAAGGTGCGGACGTGTGGCGGCTGCCGTTCCGCGATGCGCAGAGCGCGCGAGTTTAGGCCGGCTGGGGCGCGCATCGGTCCACTGATGCGCGGCTTGGCGGCTCGAGGACGCGGGCGCCCATCGATCTCCTCAGCCCTCGGGCGAGCAGGGACGACGGGGACGGCGCTTTTTTTGTCGCGTGTGGAACGGATGGGAGGGAAGCGGCCAGGTGCCGGTCCCTCTCCGTGGCCGAAATGGGCTCCTGGTGTGAATGCTGTTGTGACTGCTTTTGGCAACGCTGGGGTCGGCTGATGATTCTTGCGTTCCGCACCGAGCAGCGCAGAGGCCAGCTGCGCGTCGCATCGTGGGCTCATCAGCGTATCAAACAGAACGTGTCAGGTCCCTCGGCTTTGGCGACCGCATCAGCCAAGACAAATGGAGTGGCGCTGCCTTGAGAAGGCAAATTTTCGGGCTCTTTTATGATAGGCGAGTGTTCTGCCTCGTAGCTTTCTGAGAGCCCCTTCTCCAGCTCACAATTTGTGGACGTTCGTAGTTTCCCTTGGCCTACTGCTGGCCACTTTTGCAGTGCTTGGTCCAGGACGTTGGGCATTCTCACCTGCGTTCAGGCGCTTGTGCACAATTTGCCACATCATGGAACGGAATCTCGCCATCTTTGGCTCGCGAGGGGTTGTCCAATTGTGCAGCAAGCTGCTATTCTAGCACTGAAAAGTCATCCTCGCCAGTTTGGCGAATCGACCGAACGAGCCCATGGCTGCTAGTCTGGATGCCACTCACTCGCTTGCCTGGTGACTTGTCTCGGTGGATAAAAGGCCCAAAGTCCACTGCCCGATTTTGATTTCTTTCTGCTGGCTTGACAGCTTCTTGCACGCCCTCAATTCCTGGGGGGCACTACTTCCCTTGCCTCAAGGAATCGATGCTGCAAAGTGGGGAGCACTGACTTGGTTGTGGCCGAGCTGGAACGACTTCGTCTGAACAACTTGTCTCCCCAGGATGGGTCAAAGAAGAAAGCCAAGAGGAAGGGCCGTGGATATGGGGCAGGACAGGTGTGGCTGAAAGTGGGAAGGACTTTGGACTGGATCCGATTCAATTTGATGATGGACGCTGCAGTTTGCAGTATATTGCATCGCCAAATCACCTGCTGCCCGCCTGGACGATTGAATATCAACTCATGACAGTAGCTAGGCTGGACAAGCACGTTTCTGTATTGTTCGATTTGAAAAGAGCCCCTGGGAATGTGATCAGTTTGCAACTCTTTTGTGTTGTTATCAGCGATTGGATTGCTGACACTTGCTGTGCCTTATTGCGGCGCGTGTCACTGCAGAAGTGCGCCATGAGCCCCATGAGGGGGTTCATTCCTCAAAGTATAAAACGTCTCTGGCCTTTAATCCTGCGTTTCATAGACGCTGTCAGCTGGGCGGCCTGCAAATGAGCAAAAGTTCTGTTCGGCAGTGATGTGACTTGCCTGACGTGATCAACTTCAGGGTGGTAGCTGTGGATTTGGAATGCGGGGCCAAAAGTCAAGGTCAGGACCTGGGGCGCGCCCTGGCTTTGAAGGTGGTCAGACACCCCTGTACAGGCGGTTGCCGAAATTGAGAGGAATTGCAGGAGGTGAGTCTGCAGATGGGCAACAGCGCTATATATTGCCATGATATTGATGACTGCTGAGATCCATCATGAACATGTGAACACAAATGAGCATACACGGATAGATCTGAATGGCAGAAAACTGTTGGAAAGGGCAAGAACAAGAGTATGGCCTTGGAGACTTCAGCTGAGCTTGTGCTTGCAATGTGTGCAAATGCCAGTGGTCCCTGTCAGTTTACGCTGGAATTGAATGTTCACTTGCCTGTGCCAGGCATGCCTGCTGGACAGAAGAAATTCAATATAGTAAACGTGGGGGACTTGAATGAGCTGTTTGAAGAGGGTGAAGAAGTGACCATTGAGACATTGAAGGAGCGGAAGTACTTCAAGCCAAGTGGGAAGGACCGGAAGCTGCCATTGAAGGTTGGTAGTGTGGGGTGTATTCTTGCTTCGTTTCCTGCATGCAACAATGTGATGGTTTGCAATCCAGACACCCCGACTGTCTTTGGATTCAACCGCAGCACTGGTGCCTGCTCTTTCTAGCTGTTGCTGCTATTGTGTGACTGCCCCAAGTGCACATAGAGTAGTTGGGCTGAGGACTTGGTACCAACACTGGCAGAACTTGCCAATGCTGGCAGCACCCCGACTGTCTTTGGTTTCAACCGCAGCACTGGTGCCTGCTCTTTCTAGCTGTTGCTGCCGTTGTGTGACTGCCCCAAGTGTATGTAGTGTGGTTGGCCTGCAGACTTGATACCAACGCTGGCAGAACTTGCCAATGCTGGCAGCAGGTGCATCAGCCGAGCAGTTGGGTTATAGTGTCTGGACCAGTGTGCGTGCTTCCACCTTGCAGCAACCTACTGCCAGCACAAATTTGCTGCCATCCGGTGGCAAAGATTGACTGGGTAGCGGGCTAAATCTTGCATCACACCAGGCCTTCCACAGACCACTGGTTGTTGCAATAATACCCTGGCAAGATTGGTGCACGCTCTATCAGCAGCTTCCGTCATTGCACCCCAATTTGCTCTTGTTTTATCAGATAGCAGCACCCAGGCAGTGTCGTCTAGGCAAGAAACTGACAAGAGGCACGCAATCCCCACTTGGATGCTCACCTCGGTAATATGATGGTGTGTTCCTTGGATTCCAGAAGTTTAGAGCATGACTGGCGTTCGTATCTCGTTCGTATCTCGCACTTGAGAAACGATTGTCATCTGTTGTTTGTGTCCCGGGAACGAGGCCAGTACAGTCGCTTGGACGCTCTACAGTCCCCTCCTGCAGCAACTTATATGACGCCAGATCTGTACCATATTCTCGTTGTGTCGAGGCGGGTATCTACACCCCTTGTGCTCCTTGTGGCTGTGCTGACTGTAGCGGCTGCGAAACAATCTGCGGTGGTTGTTTTTCAGGTCCTGTCCGACGGCGACCTGGACAAGCCCTTGAAATTCAAGGCCGTTTCCTTCTCAAAGGTAGCTGCAGAAAAGATCGAGGCGGCGGGCGGTACGGTGGAGAAGCTGGCGGTGAAGCCCAAATGGACGCGGAAGCTGCACAAGATCATGGTGGAGGACGGCACTTGGGAAAAGAAAAGGAAGCAAATGATCCAGCGGAAGAAGGAAAAGAAGGCAGCGGGAGTTTTGTAGAGGGCAGCGGCGCGCGCTTTTGATGTTGACAGAGTGGCTGGGGTTGTTTTGTTTGTGTAAATGGGAATTTTGTGCTCTTTTCGACTGCGGGGGTCTTGCGCGCAGTCTGGTGACATGCAGACGGCAGCTGCGTGTGCTTCTCCGCTGGGTGTTAAGCATGTGCTACGCGTGACGCGCTACGAGGGAGCACAGGCCATGCGGCTGTGACCCCTCGCTGGAGTACGACCTGCGATGCTGTCATGGGCGAGGGGCGTTTGCCTGCTGCTGCAGGCCAAAAGCGGCGATCAGGTCCCACCGCAACGAGTGCCGACTTCGGGCACGGCACCGCATTACACATGAGCACAGGATTGTGGAATGATTGACGTTGTGGCTATTGAGCTCTTCTTTGAAACTGTTAACGTTTGGCGCTTGTTTTTGGCTCAGGGCGCGGCAGCAACTGAACAAGTCAGGATTTTCATCAATGAACGCAGCACGAAGTTGGTGCCACTGTCAAACCGCACATCCGCTCAGGTCTAGATCGCCACCGCTTTGTGACTGTGCATCAGTGACTTGGGAGCAGCATCATTCATGCGCCTACTAGCATCATTTTTTGCACGAATAGAAGTCAACGGTGATGCACGAAAGTGGCAGCCCAAATCAAGCTACACTCGCTTGCTGCCCACTAGGAAGGCAAGCAGGGAATTGCCGCTCTCGCAACCTAGTCCTTTCCTGACGAGATGCTGCACTCAGGATATGAAAACACGCTGCGCGGTTGCCCGTGCAGCAACTCTGCCAACGGCAATGTGAGGCACTGGAGTCTGGCGCGCAAGCCAGCTACAGAGCTGACACAAACTTCCGTAGCTGGTCAAAATTGGCACTCCAGCCTGACAATTGGTGTACACGTCGTTGACAATAGGGCAACGATCCCCCCCGGAGTCTGCATCAAATGCCGCCCCTCGTCCTTTTTCTCCCCCGCTCCACAGCCACCCCACACGCCACGCGACCGCCTCGGGCCCAGGTGCCAGAAAGGCACGTCGACCTGGCGCGCCTGCCACACCCCAACCACGGACCCCCACCCCACCCGCCCACATGCCTGCCTACCACCTGCATCATTTCCCCACCAGCACAAGCCTCCTCAACAACACATGCCATCCGCACTGCCCGCACCCACAGCCTATTCCCCCCTCGCCCCGCAAACCATCGAATCCACTTGAAAATCACTGTCAGCCCTGCCCCTAGGCTCCCAACGCCACCCCACCCATTCAGCCCGCGCAGCTTGCCGCCGAGCGGCCTTTGAAAGCAAGCCCGCGCCATCCACGCAAAACACTAAGTAAAAACGCAGGGTGCCCGATTCCACTTGATCGGGCGCCGTGACTAAACAAACCCAGTGGCCCCTAGTACCAAACCCTCTCCCACAGACACAGAGCCATGCCTTGGCGACATGGCGATCACAAGCCGGACGGGCACACATGGCGGGTAGTGAAAACCACTCATGCATGCCTGTCATGAAACACTGTAAGATCCGCCAGCTTCGCAAAGCGAAGACGGCGTCTCTTGCACGTCTTGCCAAGGACAGCACTCAGGAGGCCAACCAGGCCAACCTGAAAGTTGCACTAATGCCCACCTCCCACAAACAGGCGTGTGGGTCGAGACCGATCAGTTTGGTTCAAGTTCTGCTGGAGAGTCCAGCAGGCTGCAAGCTTACAAGCGAGCAAACAATTCACCCGGAACAAATCCCTCACAAAACAAATACCACAGCAGGGTCGGGTAGGGTATTCCAAACCCGACCTCGCTGTGGGCCATCATCCCACCGCTGATGGTAAACAAAACACCAAATAAAGAATGCACCCCGCCCCATTCCATGCCGCTGCCCCGGACTGCCGAACCTATGCCACAGCCGCACGCATCCAACCCCGCTGCATCCACGAAGCCCATGCACCACACAACAATCAGCACCGCACGCACGCCTTGCCTTTTAATCCTGTCGCACACTTGCTGTTTCCAAACCTTTCGTCACAAATGCGCCACCAAGTCCACGCTCCTCCAAGGCCCCGTCACTCTTTCGTGGAGTCGCCGATTCACAGCAGGGCCCTCAAATTTGAAGTTGGATTCGACTGTCATTCTCTGCCGGCCGCCTCCCACTCATCCTCCACGTTCACTATATGCAAACGCAGCCCAGTTAAAGATCGCACATATGTACATCAGACACAAAGGGGCAGGTTACGATCAGGATTGTCACGCTGTTCTTTTCCACTCTGGACTATTGTGCCTAGTACAATCAAAGAATACTGATTGTCCTCCCGTCCTTCCCCTGACCACTTCATTTCCACGTCTCGGTTTCTGCTGTTCAAGTCGATGTTAGTTCTTACTGACACCCACAACTGTACACACTACGCCAGTGCAGCAAACCTATCTGCATACTTTCCCACTGTTCGGTGTCCTGTATGTGCCCATCCCAATACCACTTTCTCTGGACCTTTCAGCACATCACACACATTCTGCATTGTATCCACGATTCTCATGTTCCCCTGAGAAGCACACCCACCCTTCCACACGGCACCAAGCTAGGATGCAGACACTGTCCTAAAGACACCAAGGCTGCACACGCTGCAACCCCTTCGACAGCTATGATCTGCGTTGTTTTACGCAAACACGCCCAAGCTCACGGCTCTGCAGCCACCATTCAAGTCACGCCACAACATGGACCGCACCACCCTTCCCAGCACCCCAGGCTTCGTGGGCAGTGCTCACCGCCAGCCGCCGCTGCTGCCACGGGTCAAGCTCTTGCTGGATGCACTGGACATACTGGAAGTGTCACGTCTGAGGGTCGCTGTTGCCCTCCGGGGGTTTGTCGTCCCGCTGGCCCTTGGCTTCGTGTTCTCCCTTTGTGTCACAGCCCTGTCAGGAAAACAAAGCGTTGTCATGCCAGACTGACTGCAATCCTGCCAGGATTGTGTCTGAGTAAACTACTGGTACTTGTACCAAGCTCGCCCGTTCACACATCCCGGCAGCAGTGAGCATCAGTGGAAACCACTGCACAATTCTTCAGTCACAGCTGTTGACTACAATACAATAGTCTGATGGCGCAACTGCATCAATCGCACAAAGGCAAAGCCATGAATACTCCATACCAGGCAGCGTTGATGCCATCCAGAACATACACAGCACCAAAACTAGCACAAAGAAGGGTCCACTTGAGCACAACGCACCTTGCTGGAGTTCGAACCTTCTCTGCCTGTGCCCTCCTCAGCATGCTACCACTAGACTCCAGCCTGGACTTCCCTGATGTGAAAGAATTTTCCCTGGAACTGTCCATCCCAGTGCGCCGTGCAGACTTGTCTCCCGTTGAGGGCACAAAAGGCGTATTCCTTGGGGTGAAGGGTGTGTTCCGAGGGGTGCTTCGCGGTGTGGTTCGTGGCGTGGTTCGCGGCGTGCGACCAGCGACAGCTGAAGTACTGCGCCTGTGGCGTGCCGATGCTGGGCCGGAGTCCCTGGGGTGGAGACAGAGAATAAGTGAGCACAAGACCAACGCAGGCATCACACAGCTTGCACTGTGCAGAACAGCACCGTACAGAACCATAATCTGTGTTGTATGCAATGGCTCATAGGAAATGCCTGCAACGAACAACACAGAATACATGAAATTACGATACAAACGGCAGCACCAAATATGTAAACTATCCGCGGTCCTGCATTTACCACCACTACTAACCAAAGACAAGCCTCTACGCTGCCTCGCATTTCCCTGCTATTTTGCACAATGCCAACGTCTGTTTTTCTCAGGACGGGTGCAGCACATGGGCCCCTGATTGTGATGTCCAATTCTTGGAAAAGAAATGGACTGGCCATACTATCCACCACAACATAATGCTCCTCCAGTATGTGGACCACTCAACCTCAGCCGGCTTTCACTCTCAGCAATTGCAGTTCCCAAACGAAAGGCGGCATACCTGGACGAATTGCTCCGTTGGCTCAAGGAAGGTAAGGGCTTAACAACGTCCTTTGCAGGCCTTGAGCTTGTACGCCCAGGGGTTTCGGAAGACCCAAACCCACTACGTGTCCGACTCAGCTGCAGACAGCACAATACTTCATTAAATCACACAAAGGACATCGGCGGGTTAACGAACATGCAAATCCACAGCTATGCCTAGCAATATGAACAAAAAGAGAAGATTCATGGTGGGCATCCTGCTCTTCACCGTAAAACCCTGCCCGTGCTGAAAGATGCAACGGAGGTCTGCAACTACACCAGGACAATGAAAGAGCAGCACAGGGCGTGGAAAACGTGCTCTCAGGAAGGAAGCATACCCTGCGTCCAGGAGTCGGTGGCTCAGCATCATGGCTGTCAGAGGCCCTCCTCCTGGCACTCTTAAGGCCGCCAGATGTCACTGATGACCCACTGCCGTTCTGCATCGCCCTCTTTGTGTGATCCAACTCGGCCTGCAACAACATCGAATACGAGAATAAGGCCTGCAATGCCACAAGGTGTGACAGGACTGAACTAAGGGTTGCCATTATTTCTGAGCAGTGCCAGCGTCCTGGAAAGCCCCTTCTGGTTGCAACGAATGACATAATTGTTTGGGCCAGGGGAGGAATCCTCCAACCGTTGAAAGGCTGCATTCAGCAGTTGATGGATACTGCACCGATATCAAGCCCACAAGTTTTCCAGCCAAAAAACCTATGCCACACGCCAATCGCTGCAAAGGCCTCTCCTGAGCAGCTCCAGTCGGTGGAATACTTGCAAGTGGTCCACGAATTAGATGCACAACTGGTACAGCATCGGCCACAGCCTCGCACCCGAAGCTCAGCCAGCTGCCTCTCAAGGGCCTCCTTCTCGCTCATCGCCGACCTCGCCACGGCCCGCTCTGTTTCTACCACCTTCTCAAGTTCTTCAATTCTCTCCTGTTTCTTCTCTGCCTTGCTATTGAGTTTGTCCATCGCCTCTCGAGCTTCGTATATCTTCGAGCTCTGTGTGTTCTTCTTCGCCTGGACACAAATTCACAGCAAAAACCGTCGTCAGGTAGCAGCAAGGGTTCTACAGCTCCCGGCGGCGCTGAGAGACATGCAAGGCACAAGTTCGTAGATGAAAGGCACAGGCCTGGAAGGGGCAACGCAATGGCACATGCCATGGCGATGCTGGCATCAGCAAAGGAGAGCCGTCTTGAGATAGTTGGCATACAACAACTGACATCCCAACTGCATATCAATAGCGGCAATAGCACATGGAGCCTGCTATGAGGGCCAACTTGGATTCTACTGATGGCTTAGTACCATATAGCTACCTACAAGCACCTTGTAACAACAAAACGCTGAAGCTCACAATGTTTTCCAACCGATTTTGGGTGCATAGCTACTGATAGTCAACGACGACGAATTTTCTGACAGGGCTGTCTCACGCAGTGGGGATAAACAACTGCAACATCGTGGAGAACCGATAGATGACCCCGGCTGTAAGATGTTGCTCTGCAGGTTATCTTGCGCTGCCACAGCAGACCTCAATGGCACAGCAACCCAGAGCCAGGGAGGCCACCACACCTGGCCAAGTGTGATCTGAGATACACGTGCTCCGAACATCAGTGTGCTGAGGGTCTCTCCGCGTGAGGAGCTTTCGGGAGCAATGTGCATGAACATCATTGCCTTGGCCTGCCCTGACAGGCTGTCTTGAAGGAGCTGCGTGAGCTTGCTGTTCCTGTATGGGACATGGTTCGACTTCTGTGCCAATGCAGACATGACATCTCCCAGAGCACTCAAGCTCTTGTTGATGTGCTTGGCCTCCTCCAGCCGATCACCTACAGGTCAAAACAAAACACGTGTTGACCGGGCCCTGCCGAGACAGATCCAAACATACCACAAACAAGTGCAGGACAACTGCAGGACTGGGCTGTGGCTGCATCGTACCAGTCGCCTCGCTCCTTGACAGTCTCTCACTGCCAGCCAAATCCACAAGGTGGAGGCAGCCGTGTGATTTCACCCCAGTCACTGTGTTGTCTCCATCAACAACGACGGTTAGGACGCTATGCGATCTGCTGCTTCTCTGGTTCATTTTCGTGGATCCAACCGCCCTGTTCTTTGCGCCAATGTCCATGAACCTCAGCACATCATCTGTGCAGTCCACCCTCATCTGCGTCGCCTCTGGCACATTCTCTCCACTCTTCTCCGTGGACATGATGTCCAGCCGGTTCTTCTTGGTCGGGTCGGTAGTCAGCAAGTCCCGCAGTACCTCATTGTAGATCTCAAGCATTTGGACGCGGATGTCATAGGTCACCTTTGTATTGGAAAGGAAACAATAATCCAGAATCAGACGGACAGCGCTCTCAGCTGCATTATGGGCAAATGTCATTCGTATCACACTCCCACTTGCAAAATGTCGTTTTCCAACAATGCATGCACCATGATTATGGACCCCTGTAACAGATCATGCCATATGTGGTGCAAGCCCTCAGTGGCAACATAATCTGTTTAAACAGTGACTAACATTCCGCCATGTCACATCAGTGGCCATCTGTGGCGTGCGCAAATGCACAGGCACAGGAACCAGAACACAGCCCTCATGAACAAGCATTCTGGCATTCACGAAACCGTGGCACGTGGTGCACAATGTGCAGCGACGTTCAGCAGCACACACACAGACGCCCAGAGCTTTTAGCTCACCTCATCTGCCCGATCCCTCTTGATCTGGAACAAGTCGTCCAGCGACCTGTAGTTGATGCCACGGCCCTTGTAGTGCTGCACGTCTGTACCGCTCATGGTGTGGGTCTTTCCAGAACCCGTTTGCCCATAGGCAAAGATGCACACATTGTATCCTGAACACACAAACAACTGGCCACTCAACATTCTGGGCTGCCAATGCGATGTACGATTCCACCAGCATAATGATTTTGGACCATGAACAAGAACACTTCGTCAAACAATCAACCAAACAGCATACAACCCATGACACAGCCCCCTTTTTGACAACTTAGGATCTTTCGCAACTTCCTGGGCAAACAAAGTACTGAGACGACCACAGTCCCAGCCAATAAAACCCACAGCAATAGAATAGCGTCTAACCAAAGCCTCTGCAGAGATCAGTGTGAAGACCTAGCAGAAGTGCTGTGGTGTGATACTGAAGGCCAAATAAGATAGACCTTACCATCCAAAACGGATCTGATGAGGGGCTGTGTTTCACAGTAGACTTGGTCCTGCTGGCTAGACCAATCAAAGATCTTGTCGAATTTGAACACCTTCCTCTTGTCGTTGCCACCCTTGTTTGAAATTGCAACCTCTCCCTCTTCACCGAACTCTACGCAGCACTCTGTCTGATCGCCAGTGATGCCCATAGGCCGACATCGGCAAAACACCCTGATGTTACCTCGCAAATCCTGGACCAAATTGTACAGCTTGCGATTCTCCTCCTGGATTTGCGCATACTTCTCATTGATGTTGGCCACAGAATCAACCTGGACAAACCAACAGAGCATTCGTAAGCACATTCCAGTAAGTGGGCATTTGCTGCAGCAATACAGACATTGTACCAAAAGAAGCATGTTCGCCTACCACACGTACATTCCACACATGTTTGGCACATTCAGCAGGACTGCACAGTGACTGAGCGCCCTATTCACATAAGTCTCCAAATTTTCTGGTTGAGAGGATGCACCAACACTCCCTCTGTTGGGCAAATCCACTCAAAGTAGAATCCAGTGGCAAGTGCCTCACAATCTTTGTGAGCTACACCTCACAAAGCTGCGCAATAAGGCCACTTTGCATAGTTCACTTCATGCAGCACTTCAGCCACACAAACACAAGGTCGACCACACCTTTCCATAAGCTTGCTTGTCTTGTGTGCTCATCTTTGCTTCAGAGGTTCTATACCATCTTTTCGCAGCATGGAAAAGAGCCTCACATACACCTGTCTAGGAAGGGGTGCCCTTTGGATGACCAGTTTCTCTCTCTTTTGTAACAAATCTTACCTTTCCACGGAGCTCCTCCAGCTGCATCTGCAGCCTCGTCTTTTCCTTGTGCTCGTGCTCCAGCCTTATCTCGTACTCTTCCAACTTGATGGACAAGTCCTCCGCCGTCCTCTGGATCATCTCAAACTCCTCTGGCACGTACCCAGGGTCGTAAACGGGCTGCTGATTTTGCAGCAGTTCGATCTGCTGCTCAAGCGACCTGGTGTACTTCTCCATCTGTTCCACCTCCGAACGGCCCTGCTTCTCCTGAGCCGTAGTGATGCCTTCCAGCACCTGCTTAAGCATGCCCTCCAGAGAGCGGAGGGCTCCACCCTCGCCAACCTGGGCAGCAGGAGCATGAGACAACTGGCTGGGGTGGGGCGACGCCGTGCGACGAGCAGACGTTGGTGAAGTGATCCCCTCCCCAAAAGTCCTGTCCCTCAGAAGCGAGCTGCACTGCTCCATAAGCTTGCCGATCCCCTTGGTCTTTGCACCATCCATGAAACCCCCATCCATCCCTGGCGCCAGCTCCGCAAGGCTGCGCAGGCTCTCTGGCCCTCCGGCCATCGCCGCCAGCTGCTCATACGGATTAAGCGAGACTTCGCTGCTCCCGCTCTCATACGAGCTGTAAGGCCGATCGGCTGCCAGCGGACCATCGTCTTGGTACCCCACATGCTCTGCAGCGTAACGCTCCAGGTGGTAGAGACACTCTGCGACACGAGGCCGATCCTCCCATTCTCCCTCAGTGATCTCTTCTGGAGCAAATAGTATCTCGTTCGGCACACCATACTTCTCGGCGGACATGAGGAAATTATCGATGTTCTCAATGAAGCCCTGCTCATCATCAGACCCCTCGCAAACCTGCCGAGACCGGAAGACAGATGGGATCAGTCGCGAGCTCCGACGCCTTCCCAGAGCACGAGGGCGCCCATCCACGCACTAAGGCAGAATTATGCGCCGATCCGTTCAGCAGCGTCCAAACCTTTTAACCGAGCGGACCCAGGCACAGAAGGCGGCTAAAGGGATACCGGGAGTACGACACCCAGTCGTCCACCACGGGGACGGCCATGCCGCAGCCACCGAGCCTCTAACATTTCCGCAAAGACGATTTGCCCACAGGGGTCGTCAGAGTTCAAGAAAATCGCCCAGGGGGCGGATGCTGCAATCAGCGCAGGGACGCGCAAACACGGGGACGGCCGACAACATGACTACGCACGCGTCGACAAGCGGGAGGACGGCCATCGCTAATGTTTTGGGCGGGATTGGGCCGAAGACGGCGCGAGCGAATGGGCAAAGCGTCAAACAGCTGTCCTTCCGCCCCACCGCAACCTCGTCTCACAGGACATGGACAACCCGTGCCCCCGCGTCGCGACGCCCAACACCCCATCACGACGCCTGCACACCGGCACATCGCCGACATAACAGCAACGCATTCGCCATGGTTCCGCTCGGCGCCCAGCTCCACCGAAAACCGGCCGTTTCACAAACCCTCATCCCCTTCTCTGAACCGGCATTCCGCCCGCCCACCCCGCCAGCCGGCCACGCGCCAATCCGCGACGCCCTATCACCCGCCGCCGATCGCCGCGCACGCCACAGCGATCCCCGCTTGGGCGCCATCAAGGCATGGAGCCCTGAACAGTGAGCCCCAAGGCTGAAGCCCACCCCCCTCCCCATGCGCGGCCTCACCTTGGCTATGCTGTACGGCGATAGCTTGTTCATAACACGGCAGAGCAGCACGCCGTCCTTGAGCGACGACCGGAACGAGTAGTCGTTGGCCGTGGGCAGCGGCACACCCGTCATCTTCTCGATCCATGCCGCCACCGACCGGCGCCGCGCCAGCGCCTCGAAGTCCTGCCCCCGCGCCGACGACGGCCTCATTGGATCGCGCCGCCCTCAGAAAACCCCTCCAACCTGAAATCCAGATCGCCAGAAGCAAGGGGCTCAGGGTCGCGGGACTGCGACGGTCTCAGGCTCGGCCCGGCCGAAGCTGGGCTTGCTGGCGCCCGCTTGGGAGGGGGGCCGGCTCGGGGGGGAATGCTTGTGGAGGAGATCCTAAGGCGAGTTGAGTTGCGGTGCCAATCCGGCCATCTAGCCCGCTGTGCGGCGCATTCATCGGCTCAATGGGGTCCAAAAGGCGAAAATGTGCCCCGGGTTCGCGGACTGGCCAGTGGGCGCCCACCAGCGTGGCCGGTGTCCAAAAGAGCGTAGGGCCGAATCCGTGCGTGTGGCGAGGGCGGCTCCACGCGATGGGGAGCTAGAGTACTCCGTGCGGGCCGCAGGTCGCACTGTGGAAGGGAGGGGGGATTAGGCATTGTGGTGGGGATTCGACGAATCAGACGGGGCTGCGCTTTTCGGTGGGCTATCAGCGCGCGGACCGCCACGGAGAGGGAGGCGGCGGCGCGCTCCAGTCCGTGGCGGCGAGGGCGCGCGCGTGGGGTTACGGTTCCCCGTGGGCAGTTCTGTCGGCCCACGGAGGTCGTGGGTAAGCGGGGGTTCGTGCATGGCCGGGGGGCCGAGGAGGCGCGGGTGGCGGCGGTCACCAGGACCGGTTCAGGACGTCTATGAGGGGGGAAACCGCGCCCCGCCCGCCTACGCGGACGCAGGGGGGCGCGATCGCGCAGCACGCGGCCCGTTGCACCACATCTCGCCATCGCGGCAGATCATCCGCGTCACACATCCAGCAGGGCATCTGGGAGGGAGATTGGGCGGGGCCATGAGGCGCAGTCGCCCGGTCGGGGCTGCGCCGACTGCAGGCCGGGGCCGCGGTGGCGGTGTGTGCGCGGTGGGTGAGCCACGGCACGCCAGGTCCGAGATGGGTTTCCACGCAATCTCAACCGCCGCACGGGCCCCAGGTCGCCGCACCACGTGAAGCCCTCGCCACAAATTGGCGCCGCGGGGGCGATCTAGGACGCCGCCTCCCGCACTGCCCCGCCCCGCCTCAGATTGAAGAGCTGATCTGCGCGCCAGGACCATCAATGCCGGCGCGCCCGCGGCAGATCCGCGCGGCCGTAATACGCTGCCATGTCCATCCCAGCAGATGGCCTGCCGCGCCCAATTCCCCTGGCCCAACTCGCCGAGACCGGCAGGCAGACCCAATCGGGGTTTCAAGGACCTCATGGGGCGGACAGCGGGGCGCACTATGCCGGGGATGGACTGCGGCAAAGATTGCAGGACCTCACGCGCGCCCGCCCCGCCGAGACCCAGGGCGCCGCCCACCTCTCAGATGCGCCGCGGCAATCGACAGCTCGACGACTGTTGCTCCCAGTCGACGCCGCTCGCGCAGTCCGCCTTCGCCGCTTCCCTTCCGGCGCGCCGGCCGCCGGTGTTGAACGCTGCACGAGCCCAAACCCCTGTTTGGAATGCCGGAGCTCTGGATAGCGCTTGGGCGCGCCCTTCCCCCTGTAATACTTCCGTGTCGAGGCGCTTCCGCGTCACACATCAGTGACGGGTCGGTGGGTACATTGGGGGAGACACGTGCGCCACATTCGGTCCCGTCATAGCGCGCCTCAAACGTCCGCACGGCCACAAGTCGGGCATGCGGCAGGCGGTGTGGACTGACGGCCGCGGCGCGTTCGCAATTAGAACGCCTCAGTTTCAACGGGCAGCAGCGCCCGGGCCTTAGTTTACTGTGTGTCCGCCGGGGCGCAATGGTTGGCTCCGAGGGCGGGGCTGGCGCTGTACATTCTGCCCCCACCGACAAGCCCACAAGCGCCATGCGCAGATTACCTTGCCTGCTGCAATCTTCCCATCAAAGCCACGTGTCTTGGAATTGCCGCTCCGCAGATCACATCTGGCTCGTCAGAAGGCGCATCTCTCACTTCGTTGACAAGCGTATTACCTCAATCACTATTTCACACAATCACTCCTCGTAAGAAGGGGTTGCGGGAAATCCCTACCGATGCGGTTTAAAATGCTGCGGCTCCCGCTGCAAGGTTCGGCGTTGCTGCACAGGAGTAATGGCGCTATCGGCGGCCAACTCCCGGCCACCGCTATCACAATTCGTTGAAATCAATTCCGGGTTGCATTACGACGCCGCAGACGGGCAAGCCAGGCAGATGGAAGGCAAAACCATCTTGATTCGGAGGCGACCCGATTGGTTGCGACTGCTGATCCTGTTTGGAAGACATGATGCACACCTGCGACTATCGACGCATGCGCTGGTGGTCGGAATAAACTACAAATGATGGGATTCAACGTCGAGAACGTGGGCTGCCGTTTGATTCACACGAACCCGGGCCGTGGCACCCTGCGGCGTACACGTGCCTCGAAAGAACCTTCCTCCCGTTTGGTTTTGCTCGACTCAGAGCAAGCAAAACGTGCCTGGACCATGATTATGGCGCTTTTCTGTCCTGTTCTTTTCTGCTCTCGACACGTGTGGTTGCATTATGAAGCGACTTGGAGCCTTGAACAGGGTCTGTTGCCAACGGCTGGACAGGGGACTGCAAGTGCATCTGTAATACCCAGGAGTCAGTTTCACACTCCCCTACAAGCAAGAGTTACTGTCCAATGATGGTGCGAACACCACATACAAGCGACGGCATGCCATTGCTCTGGAGTCAGCAATGTCGTCAACGGAGTCTTGACCCAGAGCAGCGTGCAAAACAATGTCCGTTTCAACTGATCCCTGAGCAATGCCATAGTTACTGAGAACACAGTCAGCAATGTCGTCAACGGAGTCTTGACGCCAGAGCAGAGTGTAAATTAATGTCCGTTTCAACGATGGTGCAAACACCATAGACAAGCGACGGCATGCCATTGCTCTGGAGTCAGCAATGTCGTCAACAGAGTCTTGACCCCAGAGCAGAGCGCAAAACAATGTCCGTTTCCAATAATCCCTGAGCAGTGCCATGGTTACTGAGAACACAGTCAGCAATGTCGTCAACGGAGTCTTGACCCCAGAGCAGAGTGCAAAACAATGTCCGTTTCAACTGATCCCTGAGCAGTGCCATGGTTACTGAGAACACATGTCACTGTGCTGTGTGGGAACCTGCATGAGGCATCAATGCACACAAAACAGCTTTCTTGGCTGAAACAGAATGCTGTGCCCTGGACATCGTGCTGCCCCACACTCCCAACACGATTTGACACCACACATTGTGTTGCCAAATTTGCAACACAATATCACAAAAGGAAGCGAACAGCACTCAAGGCTCTCCCAAATGTGCACACAGGGCTGCAGGGAGAAAGCAAGACAGCCCAGCGCAGATGGAAGCCAACAGGATCGCGAGTGTCTATGCCCAGCAGTACACATCAAGCCCACTGCAATTCAATTCAATGTGCCTCGTCACATCACCATGACATACAATTCCTGGTGCATCTTGTGCAAATGGTAGTGCCTACCATCCCATTTCACAGCTTTGTCGACTCCCACTCCCTGTCTCCGCACAAGTGTGGTGCTAAAATCCCTGACAGACCACTCTGAACTTCCCAGAACTCATGCCCACGTCATTGTCCCCAACCGATCTAAAATTCCTGTGAGGTCGCTGTTCCAAACGCAGCTCATTTTATGCATCGCTACCGCCTTCCCCTCCCTCCCAATTTAAACCAGCTGCTGCCACCAGCGCTGGGGTCCATTTCGTCCCCCAGAGTGGTATAGTCGCCCATCTCAGCACCCTCATCCCCTCGCCCCAGAACTTGGGAGAAGATGCCGTCCAACCTGCTTCCGCCTGCCATGCGGCCCCCATTCGCAGGCGGCGGAGGCCTGTTCCGCTGGGTACTACGACCAATCGCATCAGTCAATCTGGAAGTGGCATCTTTGACCCACTCCCTGCCACTGCGTTCATGGCCTTTGTCCTGGCGAGGTTGGCCTCTGCTCCTGCGGCCTCCCCGGTCCCTTCGAGCACCAGATGGTCTGGGACGAGTTGGCTGGCGTGCGCTGCCTTGCAGTCCCTGCGATATTGTTAATCCCAGGGGCAGATTCATTTCTGCGTTCTCCAGTTCCTGGCGAAGCATCGACTGCCCCATCGATGTGTATGATGAGTCCCAGTCTTCGTCAAAAGAGAATCTTTTTGTACGATCAAAGAATGCAGCAACGCGATTGAAGACTCTAAAATACACCAAGACGATATAGGGAACGATCACCAGTGGCATGTACGTGGTGAACTGCAAACCAATTACTGGTGCATCCGCCATCTTGCTCCCAAGGACCCTGTAAAATTCAGTCGTCTCCAAGTCAGGCTCTGTGCTTGATTTCCCTGTTGGCATTGCTATGGCCGCCAAGAAGTTGTACGCAAGCGGGAATGAGAATCTGGCCATGAAGAGCGCATTCGTCAGCAGGGAGTATGGGGAGGTGTGCCGTGGAACCAGCAGGTAGAAGGAGAACTGGCCCAGCTTGAAGAGGGTGAAGTAGGTGCACATGCAGACGTACAGAAAGGCCAGAAAGGACACTGTAAGCACCATGAACTTGCTGTCCTTCATTCCTCTCAGCATCGTTGCAAGGAGGGACAGGTTGGGCATGTGGTCGGAGATCCCCACTTCGGCAACCACCACCGACAGGGACACCAGGCAGAGCACGATGGCCAGGAGCCTCATGGTCCAGCCCTGCAGTCTGCACCTCCACCACCACTCCAACTGGCCCAACATCCCCTGCTTGCTCCCCCCAGTGTTGGACACAAAGGGTGAGCCCACCTTGTCGATGTTCTGCAGCACATCGTGCACCCTGAAGTAGTCACGCACTACCTGCAGGTACCGTTCCTTCTCCCTATCGAAGCCCTCGATCGCCATGCGCAGCTGCCGCCGCAGCTCCCCCAAGTCCTGCCTTGTGAAGTAATCCAAGTCCACGTCCTCGTTCTCCAGGTCGATCTCCTCTGGTGCCACATCGCCCACACGGTCTGTCATCCTTTCGATCTCATCCATGTACGGCCTCAGGCGGTCCCTTCTCCCAAACAACTCAGATACCCTTGCCACGATGCCCAACATTTTGCCCAATTGTTTGTGTGCTGCGCCGGCCTTCTCCACCTGCACCCAAGTGGACCTTGGTATCAATGACGATTGCAATTCGAACAATCAACATGCACAACAGTGTCTGACATCCCCTCACAGGTCGAATGTCTGTGGTTTGCCACTTTTGCCACAATGTAGTCAAAACAATATCTCACACACATGCACAGACACAACTTATTCTTGTTTTGACGGGGTAAGACTGTTACAAAGAGAGCAAGCAATAGGTTATACAAAGGGCAACCCCTCCTGAGCAAGTGCATGCGAGACTTGTTGCAGGCGGGGGCCCCAGAAGATGTTTGGTATCTTGGGATTTTTGAACCCATCTTGACCACACACCTGCACGCCAGCGTTGTGGTGCAGCAGTAGAGCGCGCCCCTTGACGTCTGCCTTCTGCCACAGCTTGCGCGGCACCTCCACCAGGCCGTAACCCATCAGAAAGATGGCTCCGATCAACCCATAGGCATTGGACACCCCCATCAGCCAGCCCAGCAGGTTGGAGGGCTCCAGCTGGCCCAGCAGCGCCAGCAGCACCACCCCCAGCAGGCCCAGGAATCCCAGGATGCCGTAGAATTTTCCGTTGTCCCTCAGCGAGTACAGGATCCTGTCTGCCAGCAAAAAGTCCCCGGACTCCCCATACCCCTGCAGGAATGGCAGGAGCAGCACCATGGCCACGAAGGCGTACCAGTACGCGATCTGCCACAGCACCGCCAGCGGCTCCTCCCTGCCCTCCTGCTCGTGCAGCGCCACGAGGATGTCCGCGGGCGCCAGCACGAGCATCGACAGGGAGGCCAGCCATGCCAGGAATGCGTTGAGCTTCACGATGGGGCCGGTCTGGGCGTTGGGATACTTCCAGGTCAGGTAGCCCGACGCCGCGGCCACCACGCCCAGCGAGAAGATGTAGAAGGTCACCAGCATGGCGGCAGCGGGGCCGCGCGGTGGCGCGACAGGTAACGCGGTCTCCCCGACGCGGTGTGAGAGCCCGAGACGGGTGGCCCAACCGCCGAGCAGGCTGCGATCGCGCTCGCCAAAGACCGGCTGGGATGAGGGCCACGGGGGCCACTGGAGTTTCGCAGTTTTCGGCCTCCGCGGTTCGGCCTTCCGTCCGGGCACGGCACGCTGCCGGGTTCGCGGCCTGGACGTCGGAACGGGTGGTAATTGGGCCTGGGGGCGCTCAGGGTGCGTCTTATACGAATCAAGTACGGTTCTGGAGCGGATTTGGCACTGGCACTGCTGTCTACCGTTGTTTTTTTTCGACACTTCCGCATCGCAAAATTTTACGGGTGCGCTTTGTGCCCCGCATTTGCTTTTCACAGCGTTGTTTTATTAGCTACACGCTGCCCCGCACAAAAAAATTTATTAAAATCGTGTTATTTGTTTTATTGTTTTTCCGCAAACACAAGCCCGGAGTTACGTTACAAGGTTTTCAAGAACCAACGGTACAACGCTGCGTGCAATCCTTTTGGGGTTGACTTTTCCAGGGCGGCGGGCATTGGGCGGCGAAGGGAGCCGCCCTGGGGACCAACTTGGTCTGGAATTCATGCCCAACATCGCCTCTAAGGTGCAAGGGCAATGTTTTGTCATGTTTATATGACAAATGTAATCAATGGATATGGGAGGGCCAATTGGCTGGGACTTGGCTCGTTCTTTTGCAACAAGCTGTGCAGAGACCGTCCCTGGAGGTCTATGTTGTACCGGAGCACTCCAGATTGTGGTCGGATCATACTCCTGCCCACTGCGCCGCAGCGCATTAAGGACTGTCACGAGAAGTGGGGGGCCGACGTCGCGATGCCGCCGCAGTTGCATCACTTTCGTGTTACTGTGGTGGTCAATTTGCGGATACCTCATCAGTGCTGAGCCGCCTTCATCTGGGGATGGAGAGACGAACTGCGTTGCGCTGAGTACTTTAGCATAGTACTTTTTCAACGATAGCAGCTGAATGGTAAACCCGTTGGATTACAGGTGCCTGCCAGAATCAGCGCAATGCTCGCTTGGATGGCAGAACAGGCCCCGAAATAGGCGCTGCAGAGTTGTCGCTACCTTGCTGAAATCGAGACACCGCTGGGGGCCAATTCTACACTGTTGCATGGCTCTTGCGAGTCCCATCGAACAAGATGCCAAGGACGCCTTTTGTAATATCATAGCACACAAACTGTGCCCCTCACCAAGTTCACGCTCGCCACTCGCCATTTACACAGGACCTACTGCTTGATCTTGTACGGCAAATTGCCTGTACGGCTGTTGCATTCTTAATTGCTCCTTGTGGTGCTAGTCTACTTTGCACATTTGCAAAGGTATGTTGATGCTTCCACAGCTAACGTAACTGCCGGGAAGAGCGCTTCCTCTTCGGGGCATCAGGCTGCCATGTCGATGGCAGGGCGATGCATCGCTGACAATACTGCACACAGATGGCGACTGATGGTGATTTCCTTGCAGTACTCAACTCTGGGTGGACAACAGCATTGAGCCGACTCGACAGAACACGAGTGGTCATTAAAATGTGCACCATTTCTCTCGAGTGAAAAGGAGCAAGCATGTTGTTGCCCATGCACAAACATCCTGCGCATGGCTGGGGAACGTCTTGGTCGCACATATTTCCACCTCACTTGCACCGCGATGCATGGACCAGCTCATTTTGTTGGCCCAGGGTTCTGCAATCTCCAGACCTTGCAAACCCGGCTGCCGCTGCATCTTCAAGTACATGTACTTAATTGCCACTTCATTGTCTTCTCATGCATGAGAGCGTTGCTCAATGTCAAGTGATATTTGGGGCATAATCGTCTCGCCGAAGGACAAGGGACGCCGCCCGGTCCATCTTCAGGTTGGTATCGCGTTGCTTTGGGAACAGGTCTCTCCAATCACTTGCATTGAGTGCATAACCTTCAAGATGACAATTTGTACGCTCAGGTACACACGAGCAGTGCGCTGTGATGTCAATCCAAATTATGAATTGAACCGAATCGTGATTCACTCGTCAGATATTACATGCCCAGCTTTACATGCAGCCTCAAGGCGAGGACGCAGCCACAGCTACCTTGTTATTCCAGAAAAGCAGCTTCAATTAGGAGTTTGATAACAGCCTCAGGCCCTACAACGCTAATCGGGCCAAGAAAAGCAGCTTCAATTAGGAGTTTGATAACAGCCTCAGGCCCTACAACGCTAATCGGGCCAAATCATTAAGGAGTGCAAGATGCCAATGCCTGAATGAAGTGTTGCTGAGGATAATTTCTAGACATAGCATTCAAGAGATCCTGACAATGGTCTTATATGCTTTTCAGCATATGCTGCCATATGCAACACAATGGCCACCTCTCCCCAGTAAGATTCCCATCCAGCCAATGATAAACACATGGGTCCAGTAACTGGCATGTAGTACTTAAATATGTGATAAGAAAAATGTTCTAGAATTTGTGCGCTCCCATCCGCCGATCCCTTCTATGCCTGCATCGGGCATATGCAATGTTACCTCACGCAAAGCCACACAGCCAAACAATTTTCATGTTTCTGCATTGGCGACACATTCTTGCTACCATATTGTACACTTCTCTGAACGCAAAGCCCCACCCCCAGCCCGCAACGAACAACAACCAAGAATTCAGAAAATCATGACCTCCATAGACAAACTAGGATGCCCTGGTACAGTATCCCTTTTGCCCACTGCAGAATACCAATTGCGCTCCCAGCCCACCTGCTGTATACACTCCTTTTTGTACTCGTTGAGAATTTGTATTTTTTCCTTTTCTGTGACACTTTTAGCGGGCCATTCGAAAGCGTCGAGTATGTAATGGCGGTACCCACACTGTCCTGAAGGCTGCTGACAGGGGGATCCTCGTGTATTGAACATCAATGTGGTGGGCATTGGTAATGCAACCCACGCCGACACCCGCAACAGCTGTATACATACATTGCTCTTTCACATGCATTTACACCTTTGAATCACGACTCCGGCCGGGATGTTGCAGCGAAGCCCGAGTCATATTTTACAACATCGACATGCTGCTCAGGATCATCAGCACTGGAGATGGTCGTGCTTGAGATCCAGAAACACAATTGGAGCTGTCTGCAGCCCTTGTCCCTTCTGCTGCACCCACCGAGTTCACGCCGATGCTTTGCAAATGCCCGTGAACGGTAGGCGATGGCACTACCAACAGCATTACCTAAGGAAAACATATGTGCCAAACGAAGCATTCCAGCCAGAAACTCAAATCTCCTATGTCGATATATGCCCGTAATGTATGCACAACACCCCTGACTATTCTTTTGATAAACGCGGCACCCCGCTTTTCCTGAGCTCCACATGATCATAACAAAAGTGGCTAGACTTAGAACAAAGCATCGCGCCTCAGCTTCTTGGTACCATCTTTTCAGCGTCGCCGTGTATCGAATCGAAGAATGTTGTATGCGAAAAACTAATGCACAAATTAGATCCTCCTCCCGCAGTGGTCTGCAAACCCAGGCGAGATTTCCTCTCGGGTATGATCGAAGGTGTATTTGTGTCACGAAGCATTGCATTGAATGGTGCGGTCATGCTCTACCATCCCTCCCATCTTTTTGCGCCTGCCATCACATGCAAGGCAACTTAGGCAGGTACAAAATCTGGTCCTTGTTTTAAACAGGTCAAAGGAAGGGTCCCACTGCAATGAAATTCACTGCGTTGTATTGAACCAGCAAAACGAATTAGGGGCAATTGGTGTCTTGTTAATGAATATGGATACATCGATTATTGCTAATTGTAGCATCTGGGAGCCTACGAGGCAACCAACTAGATTGGAATGGGCGTTTCCACAACCAAAACTGCTTTGGGAGCAACTATAGCTCAATCCGAATACCAGCAAAGAGCAGAAGGTAATATGGTCAGACAATCGACTATTGCTTCTAAGGTGTTGCAGCCACAAACTGGACTACAAAACGTCCTTTCATTTGATTCATTTGTTGTGTCACATCGCGCCCGCCACTGCGTCATTGCGTTGTGGCCCTCATGGCTATCCACAGTGCGACGTGAATCTGAATTGTGGAGCCCGCAAATTCTCCTTATCCTCAAGAGGATGGCTGTCTCATTGAAATGCATATCAACTCACCAGAAAGGCCTCAGTCATGCGGCTGGCCCACCCTTGCTATACGGGTTGGTACCGCCAACTCCGAATTGTGGAACATAAGTGCCCCCAGAATGAGCATTCTCCTCGACCTCCTTGTCCGCATCATTTAGGCACGATGATGGCAGATTCTTCCACCTGCAAACGCACAGGGGGAGATGGATAAATGCCCCTTTTTAGGACACATTTGAAGAACTGGCCACAACAATAGATTGCACAAAGTGGCACCAGCTGACTGTATGGTGCACTTCTGATACCGTATTTCAGCAACTTCGCGTGGTTTGCGCACTGGCAAAGGTTGCGCACCATGGAGAATTTTCATTGCAACGAGAGGTTTGCAATCCTGAGTTGCTGTTCTGTGACGTTTGTAAAACATGACAAGGAAAAGGCACAATGCTCCTGCTATCGGTTTTGGTAGACATTACCCTTTAGACAATGCCAGTTTACTTATCCTGATTAGCATGTTGTAGGTAGTGTCTCTGCTTGAAGTTTTGTATTTTGTTATCAATTAGCAAATCGTCCATGCAATTTACCAAATCAAAGCATTCTCTCAAGTCGCTTGCGAGGAGTACCGTCATAGCCACAGCAATGCCTCGACACCACGTTATGCATCACGACATCAGAAAACAGATGGCAATGTACTGAAACGGCGGTGCGGTAGACTGTATAAACAGCATGTTCAAGCTGCTATCCGACCTGAGATGGCGGGATAGCTTTCTTACCATTGCTCCCTAGGAGAGAGATTACGAGTTCCAGGTTCCGAGTTGCCACCCGCCTGCATCAGGGCACACATCCAGTCTCTGAGCAACTGGCCAGTTTAAACGC